GTTATCTTAAGAGCAAAAGAATATTGGATATAGCCAGAGACTGAGAAAGATAATGTCTTTCACTGAGCTTCCCATAAAGAGAGCTTCTGTTGTTCCTTACTATTGATTCCCTCAGGATTTAGAGGAAGTGAATTTCTTGTCTTGTTTTCTTCCCACCTGAGTGAACACCATAAAACAAAACCATCATTATAACTCTTACACTTTTGTTAGCAATCTCAGGCAATTCAATCCAGACTGGACAGACCAGAAATGTAAAACAATCTTATCCTAAGAGTTAAAACAAGGTACAGGTGTTTCCAAGGGAAAGCATATTGCCCACATTGTACCTCTTCCCTGGAAATCAAAATAAAACTCATGGCTATTGAAAGTGATGCATTGAGTTAAGTGATTTCAGTAATGAGATGCAGAACTTAAGACATAATGTGGCTCTGATCTTCTAGGATAGAAAATCTACTGCTCCTATTACCTGCATTTGGTTTTTAGGATGACTTAGGGATTCCAAAACTACACCCAAAATTTCAAGTTTCCCATATTAGTTACTCTTGGAAAAATAATCCAAGAAAAATTATTGGATTTTGCTTGCTTAATTCAGTGCTGCTGGGAAATGGAAAGGTAGGAAATTAAGACACAAAAGATCAAACTCACATCTACAGACCTGGTCTTCCCATCATTTCAGAAAGAGAGTAGGTTTTGAACTCAAGTATTCCAGGTCATCAGGCTTTATCCCTAAGCACAGGCTTAGTCAAGAGATTGCCTGCTTGGAAGTCCCCCATGGCCCCTTTTCCTGGCTGGGAGTGAGGGGTTGGACCAGATGACCCCTGAGCTTTTTTCAGACGTAAAACACTCTTTGCTTCCTAAATTATTTTATTTTCCACTGCCTGTCTAGATATCCTACCTAGATTAAGTTATTTGTCAGCTGAGTAGAAACTAAGAATTCAAGCATGCACAAACTTTTCCTTTTTGCTGGAATCTAACCCATTAGGTAAGCCCAGCTACAAGAGTTCTTCACACTGTAGAAGAAAGGAATGCCAGTACCCCCCACTGGCAAGTACCTGGTTACCAGTGCTGGAATCATACTGACCAGTGTTACTGACAGCAGCAGTGGTTTTCACATTTTACAGCATCAGACGTCACACCCAAAAACTCAATGCAAATTAAAACACAAAGTGCACAGTGCAAACATGCAAACCATGTCTCTGCAATACCAGAGGAGTGTCCCCAAACTCACATCATTATAACCTGAGCTGACATGCTGACCATTATGTGCTACAGTGTTTCTTACAATGTCCATTCAGTTTTTCAGAAGTGGGAGGACAAGAAGCTGAAAGACTTTTCCCAAAGATCTGTCATTCAAGTCATTCAAGAAGGGGCCCCAGAAATCTCAGTGCCAGTCAGGCTACGGAAGGCAGATCACCAAAAATGTGTCAGCTGAACTGTAATAGTGTCTCCTGAACCATATTTCCTAGCAAAAAGATCAAAACCCTTCACATTTCCCTAGAAAATGCAGATATCAGCAATTTCAATTCTTTTCAGTAGCTCAGATAAAAACAAAGTCACACTCTGATCCCAAATGGTCTGTTGTTACATTTTGTTCCTTCACTGCTAGAGGACATCTCTCCTCTGCATGTGCTGAGCCCACGCAGTGAGCCTGTAAAAGCAGCCTGTGGGAATGGATGCCAATGCTTTTCACAGGTGCTATTGATGTGCTCATCAGAAGGAAGAACTTGCAAGAAAAAGACATCAAAATTACATTTGTACTGTTAAGTGGTGGAAAAGACAAGAGAAAAAAAGCCTGTGGAAGGGAAGGAGAGCAGGACAGTCCTATGTTGCCACACCATGTCAGGATGTGTTAGAGCCACTCTGCTCCCTCCTGAACAACCTGGCTGCTCACTGCTGCTCTTCACTGAATAACCAGTTCCACTTCACACTGTCACAGCTTTCATTCTCTCATTCAGGACAGGCTACTGCAGCAACAAAACTTCATGTTAGACCTTCCACTAAAGTCACTGTTAGTTATTAACTGCCAAAATCCATGAAACCACCACAATGTGGAGCATAATTCTGTATAAGTGTGATACAGAAACACCCATGTTTGTAACCTCTCAAGTGTTCACAGATTCACAATCTTGTAGGTTTATTTAGTTTCCCATTTCCTCCTAGTCCTGCTTTTGTATACAACCAATCAGAGGCACAGTATATTGCACACTAGAGCAGAAATGACATCTTTTGTGCTGCAATTCTCTATTTCAAAAAGAATTCTTTTTGCTTTCAACTTTTGGTCCAGAATGATGCAAACCCAGCTTACAGCAGCATTACATTTGGGGCTGCATTGATATCATTGGACCTCCTTCCTTAAAACCACTGGACTGAGCTCCTTGCTTCCACATGGAAGCAACCCTTCTGAACGCCTCACATCTGCTAACATGAGGAGATGAGAGCACACACTGCAAAAAGGAAAACCCAAGTCTGCAGTTTTCATCTCAATACGCAAACAACTGCCAGTCCCAATTGTTTACAGCAATTGTAGGGACTTCAACCAATAAATCTGGAATACAGATTCATTTAAGAACTGTGTTCTTAATGCTACCAGGTTTAAAAGCACTAGTTTCTGAAAAACGCCTTTACAAAACCTAATGAAATATTTATATTGTTAATACTGGAGAAGTGATTCATTGAAAATTGCCTTATTATTTCCAATACAAAAATGTTCACTTTGAGCCTTAACATTCTAGTTAATATTTCTTCTTGATTAAAGTTGATATTTTTAATTTTTTTTCCAAAGTCATTCTCACTGGGAAGAAAAATGCTCACATCAGTTTTATAGTATATTTTAACTGCACGGGAAAGGAGAAAAAAAAAAAAAAAAACCACCTGCCTGTTCAGTAATGTATTTCCCTTCATCTCACCTGAACTTAAATAAATGTTTCAGAGTTGCATACAAGACTGTGCCCTTCACATGTTCAAATAATTGTGAAAATGTGCAACAATGCCAGAAGTTTTCTCAGAACTTTGCTGTGACAGCTGATTAATGAAATCAGACTACATTATTTAGAAGAAAATAATAAATATTGTCGAGTTATATACTAGCAATTCTTCTAGTAGGTAGCTGTGAAATAAAGTTGTTGCTTTTTTAAACAATTCTTGGTATCAATTCCCATCACTTTTAAAATCTGCTCCTACCTACGGTGTGCCATAGCTGAACTCCATGGTGTCTCAAAAATTCATGCAGGGTCTGCCTGTCCATGGGTCAGGTGGCCTCTGTGCCTGGAATACCTGTTTGCTGCCTCCAGAGCAGCCCTGCTCAGCTCTCGTGCTGCACACAGGGCCTGGCACAGAGCCCTGATCTTTGCAACCCCTGCCTGTGCATCCAGCACCTGAACAGGAAAAAGCTGAATGAGGGCAACTCAAACACACAAACCACACTGAATAATTGAACATCTTTTTTGTGTAAGGGTCCATTAGTACATTTTGGAACGGGTTTTAAATAAGCTGCAGAACCAAACCAAACACTTGAAGGAATCTGGATCTCATAGCTCAGGTAGAGAAGAGAACAGGACCAAAAAAAGGATGAGTCCTGCCACTTCTGCACTCCCATGTAACCGTGTTTCTCCATTCCCACCTGATTTCCACGTACTTCTGTGCCTGCCAGGTCAAAGGAAATGTTCTTAAAACCATTTTAGCTCAGCTACAGCTCTATGAGCTGAAGCGGTTCCTTCACATCTTATAATTTCCTCTGAGCAGCACAAGTTGCTTCTATTAATGCCTTTATACATCAAGTCCACTATAAGAAACCATTTATTGCATAATCAAAAGAAATCTTGGGCCATATGTGTGTGAATTTAAGTGGAGTTCTCCATTTATGCCAGTGGGAATTCTGTTCAGAAACTGACCATCCTTTGTGAGTTAGCACAGTCTTTTAGCAACAGGAAACACAGTTTTGTAAAGAAATGGAAAAACATTGAAGACAATCTGAGATATTAGAAAAATATTACTATACACCCCAGGCTGCAGAAAGCAGTCAAAAATTAACTTCTTATTCCTTGGAGTTACATATGCAGACACTTCAAGCAAATTTAGTAAGGTATCTTTTGCATGCTAATTTCTGTACAAATGAAAACTGAACCACAAATTAATAGACAATATGAAAATGTACTCTTTAGCAGAAGAGACATTTAAATATTATACAAGGGGTTGGTTAGAGGTTTTGAAGCTAGGTTTGCTTGACATGTAATTAAAGTTTAAAATATAGAGAATTTTTAAGAAGTGGCACGAGTACCAGGTGAATATTTTTTTAAGATATCTGTGTAGAGGAAACACTGGACTGCTTCTCCATAAATAAACATGTCTTCATCCTCAGTGCACTTGATGTTTTCCCCTGGATATCTTGTAGAAATAGAAGAGCTAAACATACTTAGAGAAAAAGCAGCTCTTCTATGTATTATTTTAAAAATCTGGTTAAATTTCACTCCTATCTACAGAGAACCGTATCCATATTGCTGAGCTCAAATAGCTGGAATCCCAAGAGTAATGGTACCTATGTTAAGGCAAAAGTTTCCTTTGGCAAATCAATTCCTTTGGCCTGGAAATAGCACTTTTTAAAATTAGTTCCTAGTGAATCCCATCACAGGAGGGACTTCCACAAAGATTTTACACAGAAAATTTTACTTAACAATATAGAAGGAGTGAGTTCAATATTGAAATACCTAATGATACTCATGCTTCCCCACAGGAGGAAGCTGCAGTGCCATTGACTTTACAAATGTACAGCAGAGGTCAGGGACATTATTACTTTGAAGAATGGGTACTGTAGCACCATTTCAGAATTCTAGTCAAGAACTGGGACTTGCCCTGTGTGTACATATAGTACAAGATGGACTGTGCACTATATACCTCATAAATGGTGGATGGAAGACAAAAGCCTAAAAATTTGGGATGAATGGAAGTTGAAAACATGTTGATGATGAGGAAGAAGGCACTTGAATTTTTATTGCTAACATACATTTTGGGAATGTGCTACCCTAATTCTGCTTTCAGCTGCTGCAAAGTCACTGCAGTTAAAAATGCTACTCTAGTTCCAAGCCCAAAAATAACTCTGGGCATGTCAAAACAGGGTGATACGATTAGAAGAATCACAAAAGCACAGTACCTGTAGCTTCAAATAGAAAACCCTGCAGAAAGTCCTTTCAGAAAAATAGAGGTTAATTTCCCACAAACAGTTCATGGAATTCACAGTGAGTTGCAATAGTGAAACACATATATGTAGAGTATGCAAGACATTTTTAATGAAGCAAGCATTTGTCATCCTCAAAGCTCCCACAATAACGTGGTTCTACAATTACAGTGATAACTGGACAGATGGACCAGATGTAGTACTGATAGTACAAACAAAAGTATTTCAGATTTGCACTGCACTGTTCAGTGGGGCAAAGATTTATGGGCAGACAAAGCTCAGCCTCTGAGAACACACCAAGCTCTGAGCATCTAAGCTCTGGCCTATTTGGAGGCCTAACAGAAGCCATGATTATATAAGGGGAGGGAGCATGAAATGCCCACACCAGCAAAGTCCAGTACAGAAGGTGGCTCAGAGTCATTACCTGACCAGCATCAAAAAGTGAGTGGGGAACAAATATCTGGGAGCAATAATCAAACCCAAGTCAAACTATCACTTTTACATTTCACAAATATCACTGAAGTATTTGTAAAGGAAAGCTATTAAAAGAAATCAATGATTTACTGAATAGTTGTTTTGTTTGAGAAGTCTCAACCAGCTTGGATATTATCTGCTTTTCAAACTGCACTCAGAATTTTTAATGATCTAACTTTCCCATCACCTCAACTCACTCCCCAAAAGGCTTTGACAGATAATCAATAGACAGCTGTCTGTGCACTACACAGAATTTACCCTGCTCCCTTCACTACTACAGTAAACTGAAAATCCCAACTTCAGCACTGCACCCTCCCAAGAAACAAAACCAGTACAGCATTAGATAAAATCACAATTTTCCCAGCAGCAATATTATTAATTATAAATAAAGGTATCAATAAACATTCAGGTCCCATTAGCACAACAAAATCTAAGAGAATAGGGATTACAGGGGAATATAACCTTAACCATATTGATCAGAAGCAGAGATTGATACCGTGACCTGATTTATAAGTGCTCATTACCTACATACTGCACTGAAGTACTTTGCAGGACTTCAATTTCAATTCTTAAGAACTTTTGGTAACATGAGCACAGATATTTTATGGTTTGTGTTGCTTTGTTCCTCTTTATGAGAGTTTATTACCATTTAATCATTCCCTGCACACTAGTCCATTATTTTTTTAACTATATCATCATATGCAGGAGAAAATAAAGTACAAAGCTGCACAGAAGAAACAAAATTGGAAGAGAAATGGCTGTTAAGTACTTTTACCTGAATTACTGCAATGTCATGTCTCACAAAAACAAATCATGCCAGTAGTGCAGAAGCATCAATAGTGTTCTTGCACTCTACTCTGGCATTTTTCCTGTTCTACTGTATTCCACTTTGCACCTCAGCTTTAGGCAAGCTTTCTGTATCATATAATCACATTACTTATTTGGATGCAATTCCTGTTTCAGTACGGAAAACCCACTGCTGTTAGCAGTGCAGGCGAGACTGTGTCCACCTGAGGTTTACAGCTAACACACGAGGGTAAGAGAGCACATCATTTAATTAAGAACTGTATTCACTGTTATCACATACATAAACTGCCACTTAATGGTAAGTAATATTCACACAGTATTAACTTGACTATATGATGGACAACAATAATTCTACTGAATAACATGACTTCATATCGCTGAGGTTGAATCCACTTTCTGCTTGCCGATAAAGATCTAACGTAATTCACAGGAAGAGAAAGCCCACATTTTAATAATTAACACTATTCATTACCTTTAAAGAGGCTAAATATGCATTTAAAACCCCATTCCTGAGTGGCAGTGTTTAAAGGAGAGACCTGCTCGGAATACACAGTGTGTTTAAGCCAGCCTGAACCCAGCCCCCGTGGCAGGCACGGTCAGCTCGCAGGGCAGGGAAGGCAGGAGCCTGAACAGTGACCGGGCGGAACATCAGCCAGAGACAGACACACAGGGAGGGCAGACTCTGCTCTGAACGGCCCCTAAAGCACAGTCCCTCTCCCCCCAAACACGGCTTAGTTCCTCTTCGTGCCTTTGTTCTTCTCTGAAAGCTGCTTAATTGTCGAAAATAACTCCTATCAAAGCTATTCATTTGTCATTTGAAAGAATCCTAAAATATGAGACATGGCAGCAGCCAGCAGGGAACCAGCAAGCCTTCCCTGCTGGAAATCCACCAGCAGCTGTTGTGGGACAGCAGCTCGTCTCCTCCTCCTCCTCTCTGGGCTAACACCAGGGAGGGCTTTTCTCCGGAATCTCCCCTCAGCAGCAGCAGCAGAACCCTTCAGCTCCACAGCCTGCTGCCACCACAGCAGGCACGGACAGTGAGCTGCTGCCGCAGGCTCTGCACCCTGCTACAGACATGTCTGCTTCCCCCACCTCTGCTTCCTCCCTCGTGTCTTCATCTTCCCAACCTCCTTTCCTCTTCTGCCTTTTCCCCCCGGACCCCTCTATCCCCTACATGTGAAAGTGCAAGTAAACAAAAGGCCACTCAGCACATCACCAGGGCTGAAACTGAACTCAACTGCTCTGCAAAAATGCTCCATCATTTCTTCCCCAAATTCGCACATAAAATACACTCCTTGCTGAAACTGGGAAGAAAATATAATTTGTTGGTTGTTTCTTCAGCACATTAAACTGCCAGGATTGTGATAGAAGTTGTGTAATGTTTGGGGTAGAAAATCCACTAGTAAGTAATTCCTAGGGTAGGAATTTCAGATATTTGGTGAGGACATAGCATATAAACCACTTTATTTAAGATTTACAAAATCTGTTATTGTTTCCAGATAACATAAGATTAAAAAATAAAATCCCATTATTTAAAGCCTACAAAAATCTAGAAGCTTAGATTATTTTCACACAAGCATTCTCATTTATGGTATACAATCACACGTGTTTTTACAATCACTGAAAATAAAACATTCCTTCCATGACTCGAAACCAGCTCTTTTTCGAGCATACAAGAGACACCATAAATTGGATTAAAGCAAACCTACACAACTTTGGAACCCATATGTCAAACTTACAAAGTTTAAGAAAGTTAGTTCTCTGAGGACTAGAACTCCAATACATTATAAAACTTTTTCCATGTGAACCATTTATGCAAAAAGACACTAAAGAACAACTTTAAGGCTGACATAAAAAGAAAAAACATGAAATAAGGTTAATTTCTGGTGCTATTCTAATCAATTACACCATGGGTCAACTTGTCCCATGATCTGTAGAAATACTGTCATGATTCATCACAGTAAAAAAAAACCTCAAAAACTTCTTTAATTAAAGCATTAAATACACTAGATAAACTAGGAAACAATTGTCAGAAATATTTCAAATTAAAAGTATAATTTCCACCAGCATTAAATAAATTAATTCATTTTAAATGCCTTTTGACTTTATGTTCTCAGAGCAAATTTATTTTGTCAAATGACTATAAGACGCAAACAAGAATGAGCTATTATAATGCCAATATTACCTTAGTCAAGCAGATTAACTCTTGCTAATTATTAAATTACACATCTGGCCTGCTGCATACTCTTAGCTGGCAACAAGTTCTAATTAGCTATCTGGAAGTGCTCGGGGTGGTAGCTGAACACCCTCTGTGTGTAAGGACTGCCGTCCGCCGCGGGTTTCTGTGCCGGGTAGTGGTGGCAGCTGTCGCCAGGGAAGTGCTCACAGTGCAGGCTGAGCCACTCTCGCTCAGTGCTGAACCTCTCAGCTTCAGCAAGGATCCTGGTCAGAGCCATGATGTAGCTCAGAGCCATCTGCAGGGTCTCATACTTGGACAGTTTCTTATCCTGCCCCCACTGCGGAACCACCTTTCTCAAGCGATCGAAGGCCGTGTTCAGCCCCTGCATGCGCCTCCTCTCGCGGGCATTGGCAGCCAGCCTCCTCTTGGCAGCGTTCTCCATCCTTTCCGAGCTGCACTTCACAGCACAGCCTGCCCCGCTCCTGCACTGCGAGTCCGGCTCCACAGCTGAGTCCAGGTGACTGGATTTACAGGTTTTCATATTTGATGCAGCTTCACTTTCACACACACAAAAATCACCCAGCAAAAATTCTCTTTCAAAAAAGCGCTAAGGAAAGCACTCGTGGAGTAACCCTCGTACCACTTGAATCTGCTTCCCATATAAATGATGGAGTATTTTTCTTGGCTTCTAAAAAAATAAATATAATAAAATAAAAATCCTTCTGGAAATGTCTGAAAATCGTTTCTTATCGTTGAAAGAAAAAATGAAGCATTTTTATGTCTTACGCTTTCATTCTTTTAATTTCTTTAATCTCTAAGAGAGAGAGAAAACAATGAAATCTCCATTCTCAAAATGTATGTTACTGAAGAAAACAGTCTGTTGAATCCAAGAAGGATCTTACTGGATTAAAGGCACAACAGCTCCAAATGGCTGTTTCAAATGAGAGAAGTCCTGATTCAGTTGAGGAGAGGATTTTGCGATGGTGAAGGGTTGCGCTCTGAAGCCGTGACTTCCTAAGAGAGATGTCTCTTTGCTTGGCTCTGCCGGCCAGCAACGATTGTGTCAAGTGGACAACTCGAGGCTTTATAGAAACTGCAAGAGCTGAACAGGTGGTAGCAGGTGGGTGGGCGGCACACTGCTGCCATCCCAGCACCTTCCCACCCTGGGAACTACAGGGGAAAAAAAAGCCAAACAGTAAAATCCCAACATTGCAGCCTTCATCTGGTGAGAAGTCTTCCGAAACCATTCTGTCCAGCCCTAACAACTTGCCATCTGGAGTAGTGTCTGGCTGGCCCCACAAGACTCTGGGCAGTTAAGCAAAAGACCCTTTCAATGGATAATCTGTTGCAACTCAGGGAAAAAAAAAATCTCTGTGCATTGTAGTATTTGTACATTAAAACACGTGAAAACTCTGGCTAAGTATTGAGGATAGAAGAATAACTGCATTAATGAAACAAGAGAAGGAGCTAAAAGATACATGGCCTAAAGAGCTAAAAGATACTAAGAATACCACTGGTTTGCACATATGGTACCAAAATAAATAAACTCAAATTATTAGAAACTCTCCAGCATTCACAATTTTAATATTGTATAAAGTACACAACATTGCAACCAGAGTAGTATCTTGAGAAAAAAGGGGATTATATATTTCCCTGCCAGCAAACTCAAAGTCATAAAATAATTTAAATATATTTAAACTGTTAAAATGTAACTATGGATTTACCTAATAACTGCAAAAATATTTAGATGGGTTATTATAGTTATACACAAAAACATGTAAGTATATTAATCACCTGAAAACTGTCCTTTTTAATATATCCTGTTAAAGTACATATGTGTATTTGATGTGAATTAAAGGTGTGTTTTCAGTAATATCTCTAAATAAGTGACAAGAATAAACGAGGATGTGAAAAACAAATCTGTTTGCTGGCAGCAAGGAATCAATTCTGCTACCAACTGTAATGCCAGAGGAGCCACAATATACCCACGCCCCATAACTAAAACATCTTTCTTTTACTGTACTTGCATTGTACTAAAATCATAACTATGTAAACTTACAAGGAAATATCACATGATCTTTTTATGATGTACACAAACAAAAAAAATCCTGCCACACAATGATTTATTATCTGTATTGATTTCAAACTTAATTAAATTGTTACCAGCATTCATAAATTAGTAACTTTTTTCATTAGAGACTGAATACTGTATATTTATTTAGAACTATAGCTCAATTGTTTTCATTATGACTCCAAAACTTGGTGTAGTTGTAAACAGCTGATTAATCCCTAGTAAAAGCAATGACAATGAAATGAGGTTGAATAATCCAAAAACAATAGGATGCAATTGAACACTAATGGACTCCAGCATGACAGATGTTGGACGTCGGCTGTTACGCCCAGTTGCTCTGCTCTTAATATTCCGCATCTTAATGATCATGAACAGAGATGATAGTTGGGGTAGGGAGCCTCCATTATTCCATTATCAAAATGTATGCCACTTCTTCAATTTTTAAAGAAGTGCAACTTGGTCATGTTTCATTAGAAATGTTCAACTTGGCTATCTGTGTGCGCTGACCTATTCTCCAGAGATAAAGAGCTACTACCACACGCTAAAACGCCACTTTCTGATTATCTGAGAACAGCTCCCTTAAAAAAGCCCACAGACACATATGTCTTTCCCTAAAGGATCAGCAATTAGAACTTGTGAGATTTCTGTTTCTGAAGATGCTACATGGGAAGTACCGCACGTGCAGTAAAGAAAATCCACGTCTGATCTTCATGCTATTGCTAAAGCATATTTTAGTGCTCCTGCAGCCTTCTATCCCAAATAAGTTTGTTAGTTAAACCCTCTGTCTCTTACAATGAATATCAAATGATTTTTCATGCAAAAGAACATCAGAGAATTAAGCTATTCTGTAAGTTAATAAATACTGTGTGTTCCTGTGTGTTCTCACGAAATAGCTGTTACTCAATTCAGGTAATTAATCACTTTTCATCTTAAGAGTGCTGCTAACATCATGCCATAAATACGAAAAGCTCCCCTTTAAAACAGAGTACTGTATTTTTTCACTTGGCACCAGTGTTCTTTTTTTAACTTAATATGCCCTGCCAGTATAAATTACAATGAAGACTTCAAATATATTGAAAATCACAGTGCTTCAGAAACTTTGCATTTTGCTTCACTAATGCACAGTAACCCAGTACACAGCAGTGCTGTTAATTTTCCCTTCCTAATTGATTCACCATCATTATCATACTTTGACTAACATACTGCTGTAATCTCAGGAGAGCAGCTGTGATTTATCTCTCCTACTGAACACACTGTAACTTCAGCTTAAATGATTTGCTATCAAACCACAGGACAAGAGCCCAGATCCATTTAGACTAATAACAAACTAATAACAGGATTTTATAGCTCATAGGCAAAGCTAAAAAATGCTGTCTGATCAAAATACCTGTTTTTCATCACTTAAAATCTTGTAAACTTCCTGCTTTATGAAAGCAAAATACAAAATGTATCAAGGTCTTATTCACACAATCTAGTTCATTTGCACAGCCCCATTGCATTGCCTTATGATAATGTTACCTCAACCTAAAAAATAACCTGCTTTATTGCTCAGTGAATAAAAGAAAGGGTATCAGTTGAAGTTTTCACAGGTTTCCTTCACTCTGTTTGATTTCCTCTATATTTCAGCTTGTCTTAATTAGTTCTTACATAACCTTATTCCCTCCTCTCTTTACTTTTAATAATTCCTCATATATATTACTACTGGAAATATTTTTAATTATTATCAATATTTTAAAAGATATTACTATATCCTGATGTGACAAATTGCTGTGGTGCTAAAACCTTTTCTTAAATCCTAACTTATATTATTTTCATGGGTATTGTGCATCAAACATTTCTCCAAAAAAATCCCTTTTACTGTTTTTTCTCCTCATAATTTCAAGGCAGAAAAACACCAAAATCACCAGAAAGAAGTTCCGTGTCTACCCAGTTGTTCAAATTTCCATCTTTGATTCTCTAACTACACAGGTACCGATTTAGTGCTACTCCATGATCCTCACAGCATTATTCCCGAGTCATATTTTAATTCAAAACCAGTATCATTAACCAAAATACTATGTTTCCCTCAGAGAAAAACAAAAGACAGATAAGAATGCTAGTTCAGTCATAAACCAGATTACTTTAGCAACTTGAAGTCACCCACTAATTTTAGGAAAATAAAGGAGAGCTTCAAGCCATTAAAGAAATTAGCTAGTTTCTGGATTTATGACTACATGCATAAACACATTCAAAATTGTCTCCTAGGTATTCAGGTTAAAAACTCAGATGCAATTAGTGCAGCACCCACTAAGATATGAATGTCTATCACTTGTACTACTATGGAAAACACAATCTAATTACTTTTATTACTTTTAGTGGGGATTGACTGGGACCTGATACTAAATTTAAAATGAAATGCAAGCAATGTTTCTGGTTAAAGTCTAATTCCTCTCTACTTTCTCTACCTGTATGTATAAAAACATATAGAAGCAATGTATCAAAACAAGAATCTTACCTCTCCCCTCCAGCCAGAACTATCTCCTCTCAGGTAGATCCTTTCTGAAAGCCTCAAGACTCCTCACCGCTGTCATTTACCCTGAGCAAAGCAGAAAGAATGGCATGCTGTACGCTGCCTAATTAAGAGCAGGTGGGTAACTACCAAAATATGGCCATCCTTAAGGGCCCAATTTCTTGTAACATTTGACTCAGCTCACAAGACAGACTAGAAATCCATGGTGTGCAGAATCACTTCTTTTCCTGCCTTGGTTATTTGCACTCTTTTCCCTGTCACAGCTACAGAACTATCCAAAACCAACAATTCGCTAGAGAATGTTGTATCTTGGAGGGACACTTAGTAACTAATACTGGAAATGGAATAACAATCTACAGATGCAGGAGGAGTTTGCAGTCATTTCACCTGGGGCTTCCCACACTGGTACTGGACACCTTTTCCTCTAAAGTGCTTAGAACAGTTCATGTTCCTCTTCAGTCTCTCTGGGCTGAGCTCTTCTTTCTAGGAGCTCAAGTAACTGTCCCAACTACACTTCAGGATCTGCCATACTACCTGCAGTTACTACCCTCAATTCACCCATTTCTCTTCTGTTCCACATTATCCTTCTCACCTCTCTCAGGTGAGGCTCAAAAAGCAGAGCATTCCCCAGTGATCCTGCAGAACACCCTTTCAAGCATAACTTTGTTTGAAAGCATGCTTTTACAACAGGAAGTCAGAAACCTCTTAAAAAACCTTTCTCAGAAAGGAGAAAGGAGCGCTTTTGCCATGTAACTAGAGGAACATGTCTTGAACATGTAACCATTTCTCACCTACATTATATACTGAATTTGGTTACATTATGTACCTTTGTATGCCCACGCACAGGATAGATCATGAAAGTAGCTTCCACCTAGAATGATACTGCAACCCACTGCACCACTAGAACAGCAAAAACACTCTAACATATTACAAAGCTAGTGGATTTTCCAAGTATTATATACATGTCATGTGCTTAAAAATGCAGTTATCTATCAAGGTCAACTGCATCTGCACATGCTCAGCTATTTGCAAAAGCTGTCCTGACATTTTTCACAAGGGAATCTACAGACACAACAGACCAGGGCACACATGGCAACCTGGCACAATGTTCACTGCTCTGGCAGAACCGTGCAAGGAAGCTTGGCTGCTTTGTTCCACAGCTGAACCCACTACTCTGGGTGAAATATTGACTCTCTGTTCATCTTTGAACTGTGAATTAACTCAATCAGCACTATCTCCAGTACCACTGGGCAATACGAATTTTGAAAAGTTACATATACTTGCTAAGCATTACATAGGAATTCTGACACAGGCAAGAGCAGAACCCACTTATTTAAGATATAATTCCGTTTCTTTAAGCACTTTTATTTTCCTATGTACCCAGTTTCAATAAGACAAGAGTCCTCAAGTGAAGACCTTCCATTACTATATAGCTTGAGAATTATTAAAAGTACTATGCACGCTCTGAACCATAAACCAGACGAGGGAAGGAATCTACTTTATCCTTCTAATTCCAGACAGGAATTACTGGTTTTATGATCTCTGATAGACATTTTCCTAACCTGTTCTATAAAACCCCTAACAGGGTAATTAGCAGCACAAGTGATAAATTATTATCTTTTCATAGCTCAGATGCCTCAGGATTGAAAAGATGAAGTAGATGGTCAGGACATAATTCATCAGCTGTTTTGACCACATTTCCTCACAGCAGGAGGAATTATAAACTCAAGACTCTTGGGTTCAGCACCAGATTCTGAAGTAATTCTCCAGAGATTGTTTACCTCTTAGTTCTGAGGATCTTACCTTAGTCCCTCTCTCTTCTGACCCCTCCCCTTTCTCTAACTTTTTCAGGTGTTTCTGATCCAATTATCACCCTGCCCACTCCTCACAGCTGTGTATCACAGTCACCTCTGGAAAATACAAGGGGATCTTTGAGGTTACAGAGATGGGAGTTCTCATGTTTACCCCCGTGCCCACTGCCCTCCAAACAGGAGAATCTCCAGTTGGTCCTTTTAGCCTCAGACCAGAGATGTCTGTTCCAAACTGCTCTACAGAGATGGCCACAGCCAAAGCCCAACTGTTCATGAGTCTGCCTGTGTACTAAGATGTGTGCACTTGTGTTTAGAACTTCATAAAAGTGGCTAAATTTAATGGGATGTTCAACACTGAAGCAACACCACTGCTACAAATGAAACAAAACCAAAAATCCCAAGCTTGCTGCAAAGAATGGATGAACCAAAAGCTTGTAATAGGAAATCAGCTGTGTTCTTCTTTAAGCAAAAAACATGGTCAGACAGCCTCAAGCAGAAAGTATGACTTTTTATTACATTTTACCTGCTGACAGGTCAGCCTTTTGCTGGATTATGTGGTGTTATGGATTTTCTATCCCTAGGAGCTGCTTCCTCCCAAACACCAGCATGGGAGGTCATAGATTGAGTCAGTTCCCCACACCAACCTTGTGAGACAACAATCTTTCTTACACTGTAGTAAGTTACTCTTAAATTATCTATTTGCTATGACATCAGAAGCACAAGAAATACATCAACATTATTGCAGTCACTGCTAAAAAAACCCCTCAATTTCATTTGCTCTACATTAAAAAAATACCAAGACCATTCACAAGTTAGCCTTTAATTTTTTTTTTTTTTTTTTTGGAATTGAGTAGAAAGCCTACAAAAAGTCTTAAAAATAGAAACTGAATGGGTAACTATGCTGAGAGATAATTTTGTTCCATGATGAATTTTCATACTAATTTCCTATAAGACTCTCCCCAGCTGTTGAAGATCATCAAATATCAAGGTGGGAAAACACAACCCCTTTTTATTTTCTTATAACCCTTTTCCTCTTAATCGCTGGGGATTGTATTCCTGATACACGGGAGAGCTAAACCTGTTCATACAGGATCTACAGACTTAGTCTGGCAATGAACTGACTTAATCACAGCCTATGGAAGAGAGAGCTGTTACAGGAGTGGAGCTTTCTGTTTACTCTTGAGGGGAAAAAGAGGAGCAGAGAAAGGGAGATATAAAAGGTGTGTCATGGTATCAAAAAGGAGTGTAAGAATGTGCTCCCACTGAGTTTCCCAAATACCTCATCAGAAAAAATCTTACTTACAATCAAGCAAACAAAAAAAAACAGCTTGCATATGCAGATTTTGGTCAAACAAGGAGTTTGGTGTACTTCAAAAGTAGGAAAGAAATTGCAGCATTTTCTTACTGAATTACATCCTATTTTATTAAAACATTTCTACATAATTTTTACTCCCTAAGTAAAAGCACCATTTCTCTCCCCAGACATGAACAGCTAGTCCATCTCACTTCTAGTGAGGTTTTTTCCCTCACATGCCAACTGCCCAGAGGATGGGACCAATGACAGCCACTCTGAACATTCACTTTTTTATTCCTACCACCAAAAACATTTGCTTTCTCAATTCTTTCCTACAGTGAAAAGTCACTCTCTGTTGTCTATTCTCTATCAAGAGGCATAAAGATCTCAGACTGAAGCTGACATCTTCCCTGCACCTGTTGCCACAAAACCCAAGGAGACATGGAAATGAGTGCTGCAATCCACTCATGGGACACTATGACTTGTGTAGTTTCTATACTGTAAAAACTTTTCAACCTGCTTCACTCCAAGTACAGAAATAATGAATGTGCAGAACAATACAAGGTAGTTTAAGGATGAAAATGAGTGTTGAAATTGTTGAAAACAGACATACTTCCTGACAAGTAGACAAAAAACAAAAGCCAGTAGAGAATGGTCTCCTTTTTGAGAAGCAGAAAAGTACACAAGGAAGAAGCTCTGTGTGGGATAAAATATACTCTCTATTGCCATGAACCTCTAATATTTAATATTTAATATTTATTATTCAGCCTTAAATAATCTCACTGAATTGAATGGCAGTCTCTTTACAATATTAGCCAGCAGCACCTGGAATTTCAGGGAAAAGAGAAAAGTGATAAAAGAGAATGGGGAAAAACAAGGGCCACAAGATGAGATATAAGCAGAGCTACAGGCAGGAATAGAAAGTGACAATAATAAAACATGGGAAGGTTTCAAGTGGACTGAGTTGCAACAGTTTGCAGTGGCAGGAACACAAAGTCCCAAAGATCAGGAACTTTGTTTTATTTCTTCTGAAGCCCTCTGATTCTTGTAACTTGGAGAAGAGAATGTAGTGCACCTTGGAAATGAATTACAGTTATACAGCTGGCTCCTAGCCAATTAGAAAGAAGACTGTCAAAACTACTCATCTCCCAAAAAAATTATTAATGTTATAGTTAATGTTGCTTGCTCAAAACAAAATCATGTATAGACCGTGCTATAGTTCACTGAGTAATAAAACTACAAGGAAAAATTGAGAGAGTGATGCCAAAGGATGCTGTAAGCTTTTTATAAAATCATTTTTCACTTCAGGAGTTATTTTCTTGTGTAAACAGGCATTAAATTACTACCCAGCGCCCTGCTTCTCATTGATTTCTACATGGCACAGTTTGCCAGATGCTGTTTGGTCTAAGTGTTGCCTTGACCTGCACTGGTGACGCTGGCCCCTTTCTGCTTTGTGGCAGTATTTTCCCAGCGGGGAGGTCCCACCCCTCTCATAGTTCAGTTGCAACTTTTGCTAAAGGCTCAGAGGTTACCCATATGTTGTAGTGGAGGGGCCAGCCTGGCTGGAATTAACTCGGGAGCGGCGTCCAGCTTTGTGGCTGGAGCTGGCCCAGAGGAGATTAGAAATGCCCCAAAACTAATTAAATATTTTGTCTCCTGCTGGTAAACAAAAGTGAATGAGGGCAAAAATACAAAATGCTTGATTTAACTAGGATCTGTAAGTAGCTTGACAACAGCAACCCCGAAGTCAGTGATGCATGATTTAAAAGCCCCTAATGGGTCAAAGCTGTTACACAAATGAGACTTTTGTCGATTATCCTTCACTTTATATATTTGCAAAACTGTTACATAAATGTACTTCCTATCAGTTTCCAGAGCATTTCACATGAGCATTTCTGGGGTAAGAGCCATGCAGCTCACATATTTGTTTGGAAGCTTTCTTAACTTTCACTTTTGCATTCAAGAAATACAGAATGTAAATATAACCACCAAGGAAATACGTACAAATAAGAAGTGAAAGCATTTTCAGTAACATTTTCAAGGATCTGAACTGTCAAGTGTTGCTTCATAAAAATGAGAGAGAAGAATTCTCTCAATAACAGATCCAGCAAAATGTTTTCAATTCCATTTTCTCAGCTAAGTGCCTTCTTCTAGGCACTTCTATTTAAATATGTATCTATAAAATGCATATAGAATACATATAATCAGTTAAATAATTTAAATGCAAAATAATATATATCTAATCAGTGAAAAGTGAAATTATTTAAATAATAGATCAAATGCTTTTGATATATATAATTCAGATTTCATGTATTCAGTTATGTAAATCAAAAATCCACTCTTATGGCATTTTAAATATTGTATGTCCATACGGTTATACTATATTTTAAAATACACTGCTGCAGATTCAGTTTCTTTTCTTTTAGAAATATTTCAGAATTGTCACATAAATATTCCATGAAAATGTTTTAGAAGGTTAAGTGATGAAAAGTCTCACAAAAATCCCATTATGAAAGAAAATGAGAAATCTAATTTGATGTTCTGTATACTGATTTTCAATTTATGCTTAACTTCACGTGTTTCTGTAATCCTATTGCAGCGAATGGGACTAATCCAGCATCCATAGGCAAAAATAGCCATAAGGTTTGGTTGTCCAGGACTGCAGTGCATAATGCTGTGAACTACAAAGCTCATGAAAGCAGAGCCTTGTTCATGAAAGCAGAGTCTTCACCTCAGTTGGGAGGACGTGTGTTCAATCTTTACATTTTCCATAAGCCCAGTTTTACTTGCTTTTAAAAAAAACCCTCTACAGTAAAGTTATCTTTATCTGCTGAAATTTGAAACTTACATAAAAATGGCAAGAATCAAGTATATGAGTAAAAGAAAAGGAAACCTTAAAACAAATTGGTATATATATATATATATATATATATATATATACACATTAAAAATATACAATCTATATATATAGATCTCACTTCAATTTTATTGTTCTTTACCATTAGATTTTTACTTTATAATTTAACTTATGCAAATTAGGTAATCCTCAATCACTTTAAGTAAACATTTATACTAAGGGCTGATGTTGCAATTACTGCTTTCC